AGAATAAATATGTAACTGATAGGAGCCAATTAATGTGAAAAACTGAATCGAAAAACCAAAATAAAGTTCCTATCCCGTGGTGTGGCCACCAAAAACATAAGCCTCCCATCATCATAAGAAAGCCCTTGGGAATGTTTCAGCATTTTTGCACTTTGCCGATGACCTCGCAGACCTGAAGTGCCCCGTACCCTTTTCAAAAAAGATAAAATAGACATAATAAAAAGATATGCACTTAATTCCCTGTTGATACTTTGGTTTTCATCGCTTCCAGCTTCCCCTATTGCCGGATCCCTATCTGCACGATACTGCGCCCACAATCTCGAAAGGTTTCATCTTTTGTCGCGAAACTTTGTCTATTCGGGCTTACTTGATGCCGCTGAGTTACGAAGTATGGCATATCATACATTTTGATACTGTCGACATTTGGCGCCACGGCTCGTTTTCAACCATATCTGCTGAAACTTCGTCATTTGGTATTTGGGGCTCTCTGATTAACGAAAATGACCACCGGTTTTTAGCGGTGGCGCTACTCTGGCCCGGCTTTGGCGCAATTTTGCGTCCACAGCTTGTTGTCCACCCAAAACCGCTGAAAAGTGTGTATAGGGGTTCTTGTGGCGTCCTGATCACCTAATATAACATTCAGCCTCTTGACCGCCGCGCCCTGTGGTGTCAGCCAGACAACACTTCACAGTCAGCGGCGTACTCTTAGGCACCTTTCTCAGCGGCTCCGACCTGTCCAGACATCCGTGGAAAAGGTTATCCGAATCGGAGACTTATCGGCCACGACCAGGAAGCAGCCACGACCGTGGAAAACTGTGAGCTAAGCCAGAAGCCATTTTCACAACGTTTTCAACATGGAGATGCCATGTATGCGTTAGCCTACAGCAGCAATTCGACTGTCGCCCTCCCGCTGTCACTCCGAGGATCTATACGAGGCGGAGGGTGTTCAGCCGGCGTGGGCGCTTTCTCCAACTGCGATTCTTTCTATGATATAGAGAGGGTGTGGCCTCGGAATCACAGAACTGTTGGTCCATTTCCTGCTAAACTGGCCCACTGAATGCCAAAACAGGTGTGGAAAGTGGTCCTTGTTTCATTTCCCCGCGGCTGACAAATTTTTGCACCTGTGATTTGGCACCGAACAAAATTGGCAGCCCGCACTTAACGCCAAACACCCAGCAATTGATGTACATACATTTACATTAGGCTTAACAAAAACCCTTACAATGTGGGCTCAAAAACTGTTGAGAGACATTTGTGACGCAAACTTCCCTCAAGGTGTCGTCGAAGAAAGCGTCATAGGGCCCGAAATGATGTCGAGCTACAACGATATTGTATTCATAATCTTGGGCACCTGATAACCCTTCTATCGATGTTTCTAAGAAGATCAAGATTTTTGGCCGCACTCTCGAAAATTTGCTAGATGAATCATAAACTGTGGCAAGTCAAGCTCGACGATGAACTTCTTGGAAATGACAATCATCTAAAGTCTCAAAAAAATGAGAGATGCTCCTGCGAATAGACTATATCAGACAAGCAAGGTGGTGTTGGTCGGCAGCGGTCAACCCACATACAGTAATTTTCTGCGCGCAGTTTTCCGTGCGGAGGCTCGCCTCCGAGCGAGTGGAATACTTATGTAATGAATTTACCTTATTCAAGTTTCGACATTAGGCCAAAAAATGCCAAAGATGATTTCTTCGAAACGTTGCACCGGAGGTAAATTGGTGCTTCTTGTCAGCGTAATGTGGCCATTGTTTTTGGAGCCGGACTGCCTATCCGGCGAGTAGTCCACGCCATGAATGCAAAACCACCACTTCTAACACAGTAAAAACGCAGGTTACCGAGCAACAAAATGATTCCCCCCTCACTGCCCTTTTTCGGCATCAGAAGGGCCATTTAGCGGAATGGACCATTAGCTCTGTGTTTCACTGCACCTGCCCCTATTTCATGCAAACAACGACGTTTTCAGAAAGCGTCCACGCCCTGAACGACTCCCTCGTGTATACCGGCTCGATCGTACTACTTCATGATGAGCCGCAGTAAGTTGAAAACGTCCCTTCCTTCGGACAAATCCGAAGGAAAGTCCACTTCCCATTTTTCAATGCGCCTCCAACCAGCCACTTGTGCTCTGCGTACCCAACGTCGGCGGTTGTATTTACGTTTGTAACCCGCGTTTGGCTACAGTTTCTCCCTCGCACCCAAAACCTTCCGATGATCGCGGGTTCCTCCTGAAGTGCCCCCAAATTCGCCGCGCAGAACGCTCCCACTATTGAACTGCTGTGGCACCATGGCTCCGTTATTCCTTTGTCCTTACGCCTTGCCCATGTGGTGGGCCCAGCCCAAATAGTGTGCAGTGCGAACACCGTGTGACTCAGTGACATCTTACAGCTTCGAAAAGGAATCCTCTCGGGCATGAACGTAGACCCTGGCCTCGTCGATGTCTAGTTGCTGCACGCTCGCCCAATATACCCCAAATGACGAAGTTTTCAGCAGATTTGTGAAAAACAGCCGTGCGCCAAATTGCGTCAACTGCGCCAGTGCGCCAGCGCTAAAAACGGTGTCTTTTTTGTAAGCAGGAGCCCAATAACCCAAAATGACGCAAGTTTTCAGCAGACTTTGGTGCAAACAACAGCCTGCGCAAATTATAGGCCCGCCCCAATGGCGCCAAATGACACCAGTATCGAAAAAGTCTGAATGTCACTCCCCCCTTCGTATCAGAAGGCATCGAATTACCCCATCAGACAAAGCTTCTCCGACACGCCAAAATGAAACTTTGGCTTCTTGGGCATAATCGTGCGAATAGTGATACCGGCCAATAGGGGAGGCTGAAAACGTGAACAACCCAAAGTTTCAAACAGGGAAGCAATGCATATCATTCGATAGTCATTTTTTCACTGGGAAAGTCTACGGGGCGGGGGCACATTTTCAGATCTCGAGTTTATCTGTAAACGAAATGCAACCATCTCAACCAATTCCCAAGCATGACAGGAGCTGTTTTGGGGCCCACCACGGAAGCGAAACGCTTACTTGCGCACCTAGTTTTTCCACATAATTCCTCAGCAAGTACCATCGTCTACGACATGAAGGAATCTCGGCTCCTTTACAGCTTTCTACAACATTCCCTCTAAAACATGGGACTTGTCACGTAATAGAGGGAAAAAGCAATACCAGGGGTGATGTTTGGGTCACACACACGGAAGGAGGGGCTCACTGCGGCGCCACGTCGACCACTAAGATGCCAATGGTTCCATATAATTCTTACAGACAAGTACCGTAGTCTACGACAGTGAAGGAATTTGTTCCTATCTTCACACTTTCTGCAAAAACCATGTCCTCCGCAAATGGAAAATGTCACATAATATGGCCCACTATGCTGCTGAGAACTGTTTCTCGAAGATTCCACTTGATATACCAGAGGAGTTGATATTGAGACGCAGAGAAACGCGTAAGCTCCAGTAAGCGCTTCGAAAACGAAATGACGCTCTCAGAATCGAAATAACATTGCATCTAATCTTACAATGTAGTGATGAAGATTGAGTACGTGCGCATTCTGGGCAAGTTTTGAGGCCCTTTTTTGTGTGATATGCGGTTAGCCCGCCATAAGCGGATTATATATCCATCACATGCGAGCAACTACTTTTTGAGTATCGAACCCGTGTGCATGTGCATTCCGAATCAGGCTTTCTGATAAAAATAACACCCGATCTTGTAGGCGCCTTTGCCAAGAGAGCTGAAAGTTCAAGATGCTTTCCGTTTCTGGAAATACTTCACTCTAAGCCCGACTTATACACCAATTCACGAAATGTTAAGGAGCATTCGCGTTATTCGCGGTGACATTTTCGAATTCAAACGGCGAGTACTGTACAACCAAACCCAAGATTATGATCGGAGCGGCAGCACATTGCCCCCAAGTACACGTCCGGCGCAGCCCCAACGCGCAATTATTGAGCTCTCTCCACCCGTGGTGTCTTCGGTGTTGAGCTCGCGGGTTTTTCGCCTCGTTTTTTTAAACTGTTCCTAATCCATACTACTGTCGCCTGTCGGTGTGAGTCGGTTATTCGCCCCTCGTTTTCTCTACCATCACCTGTTCCTCATCAATCTCATACAAAAGCTTCTCACGTACGTGTTCTACATGTAACACATCCTTTGATAACTGACCCTCCTCTTCATTACAACTTTCTAGAAGAAACAATTCTCTCTCTGGTCTGTTGGCATTCCCTATGCGAGGAGCAAATGCAGATATCTACAGTAATCTCTGTTGTAGCCGGCCAACTTGTCGCGAACAAGTGAAGGCTGCTTCATAGTTGCCGATCGGGCGGTCCGTGCGGGCGACACGACCGGCGCCGCCGACGCGGGCTCCGTGTCCAAGCAGAGATCGATGGGTCGCGCCAGCCTCGAAGCTATGAAAGCAGCCTTATACTTGTTCCGACAAAGTTGGTGCTACCACAGAATTACTGTAGATATCTGATTCTCCTATAGGAATGCAACAGAGACCAGGAGAAATTTTTCTCTAGAAGATTTGAATGAAGAAGATGGTCAGATAAAATGTTACATAAAACACACGGAGAATTTTTTATAGATTGATTAGGAACAGTTTAAAAAAACGAGGGCGAAAACCCCGACTCAACAGCGCCTTACACAACAATTCAAGGACCCTGCCGCGACTGCCTCGCACGCGTGAGGGGAATCTGTAACACTTAACCGACTCAATTAATTTGTCAACGATATCTTGTCGAGCTTTCCTGAGAGGAGAGTCTGAAGACGCTTCGATAAAACAGAAGTAAGAAACATTTATAACAAGTGAAAATCAGTCACAAATGGTCACAATATACAGATGTGTGAATGAATGAGAGAAGTGCTTGTTAGCCACTGCTGCTGGTGCTGCCTCGTAAAGTATAATACATGTAGATAATGCGCTCTCAAAGGCGTCTAACCGTGTCAGTGTTGAACCCCACTCGTCCTTCTTTCCAGGACTTAGGGAACCAGTAATGAAGAAATCGTGATTACAATCGGACTTCATCCGCTTTGAGATCGTCCACAGAGAACTCGGCGACTTTATTCGTGGCCCTTTTCTCTTTTGGCATGCACGGGAAATATTTGATGAAAGGAATCTGAAAAGGAACATCGTTTTAATTTTCAAAAGGAAGACTGAATGAAAAACCTTACCTTATTCAAAACATTCATAACTCCAGGAGGATAACTGTAAGTGTCGTCATCCATGGAGATCTCATGAATGATGCCACGTGACCGAAGGCCCCGTTGTTCTCGGGTTGCTCCTGAAGAACGAATTCTTTCATAGTTTCCCTGGCTTCGGCTATTCCAGCTCCGTCCCTATTTACCTCCAACAGTATTGTCCAACAAGCATGCACACATGGCACCAACAAACATTTGAAGTTTCAGTAATACGTTGATGACGTCATCGAAGATATGTACGCCTTAAAATACTTTATTGTTGCAAAATCTGAAGCTAGGCCTTATGAAGAGAAAGACCGGAACGCAGGAAATGATGGGGTGATGATGTTCTTCTTGCTTGGAGGGACCACGAAGCAATGAGGTTCCAAACCAGTGATCGTGATCTACGCCTAGGTAACAGAACTCGGCTAGTCTCGCCACTGTGATCGAAGGAGCTATGTTGCCCTTTTCCCGGCATGAGGCTCGACTTCTTGAACCACTTTACTCCTTAGACTTTTGACGTTCCAAATGTCAAGCGATTCTGGTGAGAATTTCAACCTTCTCTCAAAAACAGTTCCTTTAAACGAGGATTCCACCATTAGGACGAAGGCCTATGAATAAGGGGAAACTTAACCAGTGGAAAGACAGGCGGACCTCCTAGGGGTGCGGACCGACACGCAATTCGCATCAGAGTATGATCGGCATTCTAGCATGGTCTTCCCCATGGCGCTATTGGCGCGCGATTGGCCAAGTGCGCCCCTTCTCACGTCATCTCGTATCTGAGTCTCTAGCCGTTCAGCAGAGAGAGCATTAACGACGAAGAGGGCAGCACTGTTGAGAACCGCATACATGCGCAAATCAATGGGCGAAGAAGGGGTCCCTTTTTCGGGTTCTAGGCCATTTTCTCGGGTTTTTCATCTTTCGTGCACCACTGACTACCTCTAGCTTATTTCCAATGACCTGTCTTCTCATTGTAAAATCCGCCTTTACTTAATTTTTCTAAATGACCAAATTGGCTTTTTTTATCCAGGAGACCCCAGCGTGACTCGATTTGAGCAGTTCTATCTGCAACTGCGGACTCTAACATGATCTGAGAAATTGGGAGAAACAGAGGAAGAGTATTTCACGGACCTATTCATCAGATTCGATTTTTCTCGCTTAAGAGCAACACACTCTCATAGAAAACTCAGTGCTGATACATCATATTTCTCACCAGTTTCCACGGGATATCGCCGAAAGTATTCCGGCACAATCATTCCGAACAGCATCGAGAATCCGAGAATTCCCATGTTACGCGGCATGCTCATGTCTACCTGTAAAAAAACACAATGTATGTTTGTAAATTCACCGTGAAGAACCATCTCTTCACTACTTGGGAAAAAACGGCAGAGGAAAGCCTGGAGAAAATGCCTAAACAACCTATCAACAGTATGCGGTCGAAGTCGCTCTTTATCCGCTGTTGTTTGGAGAGAGAGACCACTTCCCTCCTCGCTAACCAAGAAAATTTACTGACGTAAAATATCGCATTTTAAGAATTTTAGCAGCATTCCCGATTGTAAACCTTTTGGTACCAATTTTCCATGCTAAGGATGGTGGGTCGTGGGCAAACACCTCACCCATACGGGACCTGCAGCCCTCGCTTTTCCGCATTTGTGCTACCGATTACAACACCGTTGCACCGTTTCATCTTTATTGCTTAGAGACTGCGATTACGATGGGTTTTGGATGTTCACAGGGGATTGAGGGTGTTAAATGGAGCGCCAGCGGCAAAAAGTGGAGAAATCCGTCGGAAATATACAAAACTCCACCCTCTCATTTGCCCACTATTTTTGACCATGGATGAGCGGTGACGGGTGTGGGTACTTAGGACAGAAAGCGACTTTTCGCGCTTCGCAATGCGACATCGCACGGCGGGCCAGCGGTCCCGCAGCGAAAACAGCTATGGTATGAAGAGCGCGCGATTGGAGCAGCTTTTTTCGCATGCGTGAATTTGTAACTTTCTGATTTATTGCTTGCCACCCTCACACTCGTTGTATTAAGACATGCGGTGTATCTATAATAATTCTCTCTCATCAATGGAAATGTTTTGTGAATTACACGATCGAGCGACGCCGTTATAGTGGTATTCTAGAATTCTAGAACACTCCAAATTGTTGGTGAACGAGGTAATTACAAACTCATCAGCCTAGGTAATACCCTATATATCATAGCAAACCCTGACGAGTCGATCCTTTGTCGTGAGTCTCATCGAACTTCCATCACCCACTCCTCTTCCGGTAACCTACCTATTTCTTCACCGCTAGTTAGTGGTCCCCTTCTGGTGGCCATTTTTTCGTTCACTATCAAGTCCATGGTTAGTAATCTTCAAATTCCTTGTCGCAAGTTAAAACCAGAGCAAATAACGCGCTCCATTCACGCGCCCCTCGTACCTTAGCTGTTTTCGCTGTGGGAGCGCTGGCCTACCGCACAATGTCGCATTGCAAGCGCGAAGATGTCGCTTTCTGTCCTAAGTACCCACAATCAGCGGCGACCAAGGGTAAGGTCGTTCGGAAGTGTTAACCTCGACGGTCGGTATCATGTCAACGAACATCACGGTTTGAATGATAACGCATTTCATACACAACTTGGAGAATACAGTTGCTGGAGACGAAATAATCTCCCAAAGTCAAGGATGCGCTACTAGCAATACAGCTCATCGAATAACCATTGAACTAGTGGGTGCAGCGGTTTTGACGCGTCGCGGTTTCCAACTTGGGAGCGTACTGCGCCGCAAGCACCCAACCTTTCACTGCGGAACAGCCACTTCTCGCTTTTTTGGTCACTAGGATGTTCCGGGAGTGGAAACAGTGCCCCGCTGAGCAGCCGCTTCATCGTAATCCCGTCAATTAACGCCTGACGACATTACGTGTTTAAAACCCGCATGGGAACGGGGGAATTTTAGAAAGGCGGGCGCGGCAATCCCACCTCAGAAATGCTATCCGCCATGATAGTGAAATCTTGACAAAAAGAAATGTGATGGAATTGAAAAAGCAGAATTTATTGAAGCTCACTACAACAGAGGGCGAAAGCATTTTTTCTTGATTATTTAGCCCGAGACTATCTACAAAGGTTTTGTATTGATTTCCATTACACTTTTCTTCTCACATTTTCATGACAATGAAAGTAAAATATAGAGGAAGCAAAATGAAAGAGGCTCAAGAATCTTTGCTTAACCATCTGACTATTTTGCGAACCACGTGGTAGTGTTCAGAGACGAAATGTGGGAATATGAAAAATCCAAAAGACGTGCACGCACGAAAATGTGGGTCATATGGTCACAAGGATGAGATGCACGTGTTAGTATTGAGTCCCAGACTATGGTCAACTGTACGTCCGTAGAACGAATGAGAGGGTCACTTTGAGGTTGAGCGAGGTTATCATAGTGGAGACGAAGCTTGGCGGAGGTCAATAAAGGGAGTTGTGTTTGGGCGGGTTTTGTTGACTAGTTTGATGGAAGTTTTACGAAGGTAGAGAGAATTATGCGAAATTGGTGGATTTTTCACATTATGATACAATTTACCCTCCCGGCTCAGCGGACGTTTTTGAGGAGAAAGTGGGCGAAGTTAGGCTGTGTCGACTGGTCTCAGATTCAAATACTCCAGAAACAGCTAGATGGTGAGAATGGTGGTCGGAGAAGGGGGAAGGGGGACCGTATCGGGGGCCTTCCAAGACTGATGGTGATGGTGGGAGTCGCATCGAGATCCTACCAAAAGAGAGGTCGCAAATTTGTGAAAAAGTGTGAACGTGCCGGTTGACCCTGTCCCAGACAGTGTGTGAAGCACGACTTTGTCATGTATCGCGCTACGCTCAATGTGTAACCCTGTTTACGAAAACCCTTGCGGATTTGAGCTTTCAGAAACCTCAACAAATAGCTGGAATGTCTTGTTAGCGGAATGGTGAAAACTTGTATGAAGTTTCAAAGCTCTCAAGACTGCAATTCAGAACAGCAGAGCAACGAACCGTTTGCAGATTTGAGACGGCTACGCCGACAACCATCGCCATCGATGACGCCAGGATTCCGCCGACCAGTGGATCGGGAACGGTTGATAGGATGGCACCAATCTGAAATCTGCCAAAGCTTCATCGTGTAAAAACCATAGTTGCAGTACATTCTGGAAGTTTTTAACACAAGTCTTGTTCTTATTTCTAGCATCAACGTAGGGAGATGAATGACAGAAATATATGCTCACATTCTCACTGAATTGAGAATTAAAAAATTCAGAGGAATTAGAAATTCTTGCTTCCTTTTCAGTAGGATGGCTCCAGGTGCGCGGATTTAGAATATAGATACAAATGTATCATCTATAATATAAACCAGTAGCTTGGTGTGCCAGTTTGTAGGCATAGGAGGCCAAAAAGATAACCTGATGGTGAGAATTTATATTGTAGATTTTATGCTTCGAAAGGGAACAATGTCCTTCATACGTGTCTCTCACGAAGTTGAGAGTTCAGAGTATGGCGCTCGAAGGCGGAGGTCACAGTAAAAAGTTAACCCATTAGGAATCAAGGTAGAGGTGGTCAGTGATGCACTCATGAAGAAAAATATGCTAACATCATCAGTAAGAGCGCTTGGTGTGCGCCCCTACCAAATGGTTAATACCACGGCTACAGTCCTCGGAGGGGCTATCCACTCGTTAAGCGGGTAGCAGCGCGAGCGGCGCGGTGACTAAGCCATTGTTACGTAGGGTGAAAAGCGGCTTCCCCGTGTGTCTGACGGATATCAGTCAGTATGCCTGGCTGCCATTCCGTTCTTTTCCGATTTAGTTTGAAGAGATCTCCTTACTTCCTTTGTTTATCACTATATAATTTTCAAATATAAATTGTTACCTAATTTATCGGCAAGATAGCTGGAAAGGGGAGGTGAGCGGGGGGTAGGGCATCCGCCGCCGCGGCCTTCGTCATGTCTGCGCGCCCGATAAGTGGGAGTGTGAACTCACACATTCCACCTTTTCACGCATGTCAACTGAATAGCCTCATACCCATCCCCTGAACTATCCACATCACCCTAGCTTACGGAATCACCATTTGGCACTAAAGAGAGCGAACCTAACGCGTGGTGCGACGGCGATTGAGTCACCCCACCCCTTCCACTTCAACTACCTTAGCATGAGTTGAATGTAGGCGATCATCATCTAAGAAAATACAGACAGAAGGAGTGGCGACAAGTGGACCGCTATCACGCATAATCTCACAATCAGTCCTCATAAGAAGAACGTAGCCCGGATGCAGAAGGCTCGTACTAGTGCATGTGATCCGATCACGAACACGCCTCGCAATGAACAATACATATTGTTTAGGCAAATAGGTATTCAAATGTCACTACGATCCGTTGTAAAAAAACATCCATCTCAAAAATGGATTGATGGCCGTCTCCTTCAGTACAGTAGACATTGTTGTTTTCTTTAAGAAAACTGAATGGCAAACGCTCATTAGGCCGATGTCAGACTCAGACTCGCGCGATTTGCTACAAGCGATTGCGAGGTGTTTTATCTGCTGCATTATAATCCGTCAGCCACTAGACCACTGAGTTTTTGAACGGCATCACTGCATACCTTGGTGCACACACCCAGAAGAATTAGAAGGAGACCAGCGACGACCATCGTCCATCTGGAGGCACTTTTGTGACACCGATGACGCCAATGTTCTCTGTATGCGTGGTCATTCCGACGGCTGGTCCCAGAAGTCCCGATAGAAACGAGCCAACACCTGACAATATACTTTTAAAAAGATTACTAGAAACTGTTGCTAGTATTCACATAAAACAACACTCGAATGGTTTAGTTTCTCTCTGCGCGAAGAGAAACCCTTCTCTTCGTCACGCCCGATTTGCCGTTTTCAGCAGACTGACCTTCGGCAAGAATTCCTCGATTTATGGCATGACTCGGTGGGGCTCGCTCTTGTGATATCCGAGCGGCAGCGTGGTAGTCTCCAACCGATTCGAAGACGGACGTCATTGCCGAGAGGAGATACGCGAGAAACAGACTGATATTGAACGATGGGGCACCGAATTTACCTGGAAAAATTTCTTCAAACTGAGATCTTAGCAATTTGGAGTGTGCTACTCACTCTTTTAAGCTGCAACTATGCTGCGAAAATGAACAAACCGGGATATGGTACTGCCAGCCATGCGGAGTTTCGTATTGCGTTCACTTTGTGAGGGATGTCGACCCGTGCAGGACCGCCTGCTTCGACGAGATCGCACACAGTCAGGAATAGACAAAATGCCCAAGAGATCACAATAGCGATCAAATACTGTAAGAGGGTCTGTTCATCGGAATAACAATTTGATAGCACTATTTATTGATGGTTTTCAACAACTATCAAAAGCTCTCGAGTGTGAGTTAGGAGGTCCCATTTGGGCAGTCGTGACGCGCGTGATATATGCATAGGGCTGCTGCGAAGGTAAGCCACCACGCCGTAGTGCCCGTGATGATCGGGTTTTGGTGCTTCACCATGATCGAGATATCCTAGCTCAGGCTTTAGGCTTCTAATCGAAATAAATCATTTAGTGTAGTCATAGCCAACACATAGGTCTGCTTCCAAGTACCAATCGCTCCATTAGCAAATAAGCGGGCCAATGAAATCATTGAGATGTATGAAAAATGACTGTTGAAAAGTAACCCTTCAGGGACCAAAGTGTGAAAACAACTTAATGCACGACGGTGCACTCACTTTGTGCCTTTTAAAGACGAGGGTCTGACAATGGACATGGTAATCCCACTCAAACAGGAAGGTTAGTATGTGAAGCGGATGCAAGTGGAGAAAAAGGAAAGAATATCGTCAAAAACACAGGAAATACGAGCCTTCTTGCTCTACGCTGGGAAGAAGTTTGAGAGGCAAGCAGGGAGATAAGAGGTAACGTGAGTAGCGGAGAGGGTAAAGAAGTCCGAGTAGAGGGAGCGTGGCAGGTCAACATTGTGCGCAGAAAGATGTCGAACGGTGAGGGGGCTTTGATCGTTCTGGTGGTGAAATTCCTTGGGCGAACCTTATACCTCTATCCAGGAGAGCGACAACTCTACCGTGGAGTTGAGCTCGGGAGCTTGAGCCTTCAAATAGTGTTTCAACATCGTTTTTTAGAGCAGATCGACTTTGGAGAAAACAGTTCTTTTCTCAGTGTAATCGGGATTTTAATGATGTCACACTGATCGAAGGAGTGGAAACGAACTACTGCTATCTAACAAATAGACTGTGCCATTTGTTACTTCAAAATAGCAGAAAGAGAAAAATTTGCTTACCGGATACTGTCCAAACAAATTAGTCCGGTACCAGTGTAGTTTACCGTATCTGACACCAGGTAGTGGGACGAGAATGTCAGCAAGGTAGAGAATTGTAATGAATAGCGTTATAGCTTGACTATAAATAAACGGAATCAGTTCTGCTCTTCCCTAAATCTCAGTTTCGTACACCAACAGCGATTTCTTTGAAAAAAAAAACGTCAAGAGTCCCAATCGGTCGGGATCGGACGGTCAAACACCCCTTCCATCAATTTTGTGGGCGAGTGCGCACGCATAGAGATGAAGCCGTGCTCCGACTCGAAAATGCGAGGCAAAAGCGCCTGTGGTCTAGTGTTTTGAACTATCGCCGCTTGGCTTGGTCTATGACCGTCCACCGCTGGAGATGCATAACGGTGGCAGGGTATGGCATTCTTGCAAAACACATGACACTTAATTCATGCTATATCTCACCATCAGTCATGATTTATTTAATCTAAAAACAACTGACAGAAAAAAGGTCCAGTGATTGCTGGGTATAGAGCCTACACCTTCTGAAAACTCGTTCACGATCTCATGCACACGCAAGGCTCCTTCGCTGCTGTTAAAATAGGGGAGAGGTACAGTTTTCTGGCTTTCCTTGAGTTTCCTTTCCGTCTTTTCTTCTTTGGAATTTCGCTTCACAACTCTATTGTCATTTGCAGGCGCCATAGCACCATCCTGACCTTGTCTCCCAAAGAGAGTTTGACCATCACAGAATGTTTCATCTTTGTTCTTCGATTTCCGGTTTGCAGTTTTAGACTATTCAGTGAGGAAGGAAATATAATGCCAATTCGCAGAGTGAATTTCTCACACCAAGTTCAACCAATTTTTCCACGGAAAGGTTGACGTTGACTCAAATGAATATTACAAATGTTTTGTCAACTTTTCAGCATCTTTGATGGGCCTTTACGTTAGACGTACTGCTACATTCTCAGAGTTCACATTCATTGCGGAACAAAATTTCCACATGAAAAATGTGTGGATCCACATCTCCACGATAGCACTAATATAAGGAGGTTGCCAGGGAAAAAGAATGCGGAAGAGAAACTTTGGATAAGATCTCTTCTTATGACTTTCTCATTGCCCAGCGCAGAAATCTACGACAGAAGAAATTGTGCCGCGGAGAAAAGTGAAGGGAAGATACGTGAAAGAAAATAGAATACAGTGACACTAATGCATCTCTGTACTACAATGAGGGCACCACACCCACTGGTAGATGCAACTACCACTGGAGCTGGAGTTGCCAACGTTAAGGACCTAAAACGTTGCTTTCAATCAGTCATCCGCCGTCGTATGGAGAGGTAGTGCCTCTCCTGCCCTTTAGCCCTTCTTCACCAGCAAAATGAGAATCTGGGTTGCCGTGGAATGCGTCTACAGGTGAATCGGAGACGTGGATGTTTGGAAGTTTGGTCACTTATAATAAAAAAGGGCCAAGCTCATAAAACAACACTCACATGATTGCCACCCAATGGAGGCTGATTTTGTCAACCATAGTGTTCACTTGAGAAAACGCCAACAGCAACATGAGAGGCGAGACCTAAACCGAAGAACCAATATAATTGTACAAATAGATGGATAACAACGTTCAGTACCGTAAGCGGTCCAATGAATTTGGTGAGTACTCCGACGATCCCAGTAAATCCGATAAGCATTGGGACTATGGCCGAAGCCATGAGACATCCTTGCATCTGTGACAGCAAATTAATCAATAAAGCTCATGGATGGATTTGGTTGCTTCAAGGATGTACTTCCTATTATTACGTACTATTAGAATCTATAATACATACATCCTATTACAAGTACACAAGGGAGCTTTTACAATTTTTTTTCGACCACAATGGCCCCAGCGGCAAGCTATGCTTTGACCGACGATTTCACCCTTTGAGGCAGTTTTTGGTCCATATCTGTCAACTCGGAGTGGTTCAATTCAATGTTGACGGGGTTCGATCTATGCATGAAAACTTTATATTGCGCATTTGTATGTACGAATATGTTATGTTGACGGTTGTAATAATTTAAACACTGGAAAAATCCTTCTATTACCATAAAGGACGAAGTTTTAGAGTCCTCAACATGTTTTCGAATGCGCCACGCACCCACTCCCATTTAGAATTACACATAGTAGCATTTGAAAGAGGTTTGACCCTCATATGATCAATTTTTTGCTGATCATTACCAGCGAGGTTCTTCAGTGCCCTGAATAGGAACAGGACATTCAACTTCGGCGCCAAAGCCATTGAAGCCAGTTAAAGGAAGCAATTGCGATAAAGAGGAAGCGCTTTTACCACGAAAGGTGCGGTTACTGACCAGGGAAGGATGAAGGATCGAAGTGGCCGTATGAAATGAGACAAATATCATGGTATGTAGTTTCGGACGCTGATCTCGAATCTTCTTCCCAAATCTGCCAAACGATTCGCTGGAGGGAGCTACGGAAGTTTTTTGTTCGTCACACGGTTTAACACAGTGAGGAATCTGCCTCAGCAGCAGCGGCTCACGAACGAAGCAGTGAGTCTTTACGTGGAATTGCTGGTGGCCTGGTGGGTAAGACGGTGGGCTTGGGATTTCAGTGTCAGTGGTTCGAATCCTTCGCGTGTTTTCCCTTTGCATTTTGTGAATGGATCACTTGGCAGAGTGAAACATGATTCCTCATCATTGTCCCCTACTTCTCTTGATGAGTTTGAGGTCGACACACTTCGAATTTTTCCTAGCTGCATGCTACCGCATAAAAGGTTAAAGCGCGCCAGTATACGGAGCGGCGTTCAGCCGTTTGAAATGAACGAAATGAGATCTGTGTTCAAGTCGTCCAAACACCCCTGTGGCCGATTCTGAAAAAAATTCACAATTTCAAACACTTCAGAAAAAGTGGGCGAGTCACTCAATTGATACACATGTCCATACCTTAGTTCAGGGCTGACTTATTTTGGACGACGGCGACCCTTCAAATTGAAAATAATAAAGCTGGCGGTGTTGAAAATCACGCAAACAGAAAACCAAAAACTGCTTTCACTGCTTCAGGACCGAAAACAAAAAATTATATGGCTTAAGTCTATAGGCTCGATGATTAGGCTGATTGAGACGAATGGAATAGATAATACCAGCTATTTGCAATTGGTCGCCATCTTAGATTTTTGCTCAAACTTGTCCCTGGGGCATTTACCTTCGAACACGAATAACACTTGTTTTGCGCAAAAAACGTCTGCCAAGAGTGTGCGTGTGGGCTCAACGTGCAGTCTTCAGTAAAGTACGCTCCAACTGGTTAGAAACACCTCCCAAAGTTTTTGTACGGGTGACTACAGGCAAGCATTGATCAAGTGAAGTTGTTGGGAGCCTTTTTCAATCATTTTGCAGCGAAGGCAAAAAAGAGAACCCGCCAGGGAACCTATCCTACAACGTCTCGCACGTGAACCCGGACTACTGCCGCTGCACTACTTTCCTTCATAACTCCATTCGGAAAATCGTTTGGCAGATTTGGAAAGCAGCTTCGAGATCAGCGTCCAGAAACGCATCCACCGGTGCGGGTCTCTTTACATATGGCCACTTCGACCAATCATCCGTTCCTGGTGAGCAGGACTTCGAAATCGCTCCGCCCCCAACAGCGATCCACCCACTAGCTCACTTCTTGATTTGGACGAGCTGCGTGGCTAACAGTGGCGTAGATGGAGCATCTCGATCAAAGCGTGATTTAGCAATGGTGCCATTAAACGCATTGCGGTGAACTCGTTCACACGTCCGCTTTGTCAGCTGCTACCAATTCTGGGTGAAAACCAACGGTCAAAATTGGGGTCCCGTCTTGCGTTTTCCTGACAGCTTTCTCCGCTTCTTTCGCAACTGGCGAATCACTGAGCACCACCGCGTTACATTATACCCTTCCTCAATTTGTCGTAATCGCTGCCTTTGAATGTGAGTGGTCTCAGTTTCGGCGTCCAAAATGCGCATATGAGTGATCGGACCACTGAATAACCCTTATAGCTAGAGATTTAGGTTTTTTTTCAAGTTTCTTACCATGCACATCATAGCAAAAAAATTCCCTGCGTTAGTTTCGGAGCTGTAATATACGGTTAAATGATGTCTGAGGCTTCGTGTTGCTGTTTGACTCTGACAGATACACCAATGCGGAGATGGAAGTCCTGATTCGAGCTAGACTATATTATTTGATGCGATGAATTCAGCACCGATTTCAGTGCTATTTCACCGCCCCGAATGCCTAAAAGTTGTAGATATTCATTATTATGAAATCCTATCTCTCAAAACTCACAAAAGTTGTATGCTCTCAAAACATCAATATCGGCCGCGGTTTTACTGCTGGTGTGCGTCGGATGTGATATGTGAGCTCAGCAAGAGAGTCCCGTACACTCTTCTTCACCAGCTTTTTCCTTCACTAGTTTCGGCGGGGAGGAATGCGGAAACGGTCAGATCACTGGCAGCATTGCGCTAGAACTTCTCGTTCACTTTTTGTGAACTCCAAATTCCTTCCTGGAGATGAGAGGGGAACCACCAACCAAACTCAAGCAAACGAGATGAAAAATGAATTTTTTTCGATCAACTTACAAGTGCCAATTTCCCGTAGTACTCATGCTCGGGAACATGTGCAGTGCTGTTGACCAAACACTTTCCCATATATACTTGAACGGACGGCACATAGGCGAAAGCGGTTCCTTGAAGAAGTGCCAACCTTGAATTACATAGCGTTGTTAACAATATATTAGGTACACTTGTTCAGAGGCAGTGGACACGATGGCTGATGGACGGAAGGGTTTCAAGTCGTTATTGGACGTCATTGGTGCAAAGGCATTGGAGTAGCCTGACCCCCACCCCCAGCACGCTAAGAAGTGTGGCTCACACTGACGTATATAAATAAACCCGTCAGCCCATTTGCCATCGTGTCCGTTGCCCTAAATCCGCACATACACATTCTTTCTGGAAGGCTCAGTCTTACCCACTTTTAAAGATCACCATGGTCAAAGGTAACCCTGCGGCTGTGCTTAGCAAAATCAGAGCTAAGATGGTCTGTAGCTAGGAGGGACTGCCTAGTTAATTTCGAGAAATGTTGAAAATATTGACGAATATACAACCCTCATACAATTCCCAAAATCATCAAAATGTTCTTTGACTAGAAGAGATGAAAAATTCGGTAATGTGACCAACTGAATATCCACGTCGGTGGGGTGTGGGCCAGGAGGTAAGGATTATGGTAGCGCTGTGATATCGGCCACCTGCGTGAATTGAACTGAAGTGTAGCCTAATAAAATTGAGTCACCACACCATCGATGCGCACTGTTGGTGAATGATTGAATTTTTACGCAAAAACGCATTCCTCACGCTATGACTTACACCCCTTTCGTCGTCGCCCTCCGCATTCATAGCGAATAAAGTAGAAATAAAGTGGGAACAAATCAGGTTGTGCCCCACAACAGTTGAGCATGGCACTCCGCCCTTGAAATCAGAGCTGTACCAGTTCGTTTTCGGAGACTATTTAATCAAATACTAATGGCCCTCGCTTAATAAGCTAATGCTTCGAAGCAACAGTCCCAGCAGAGTGGGCGTGGTCGGAAAAGACTGCAATCCCCCTCGGCCGATTCCGACTACGCCCACTTCAGCTCCCTCCCTAGTGGCTTTCCAAGATGAGTTTTTGTTCAGTCACACTTACTGAGTTCTTGAGTAGGGGCTGAACACCTCCGAAGTGGGAATAGACGGAGAGGATTGCAGCCGTTTCCGACCACGCCCACCCTGCTGGTACTGTTGCTTTAATGGGCATTTTGACGTGTGAAAAATTAAAAAGCACCTCACCGCATTCCAAACATTGTCTGAACAATAGTAGAAAGACCGCTGACAACGAATGTTGAACTGATCAGCTCATTTAGTAACTTTGCTGAATATTAGAAAAAAGTACCGTTGAAATTATATAGAAAAGTTCTATGAGAAGGGATTTTTACTCACCGCTACTGTCGCCTGCGCACAAACTGTCGGTGACCAGAAACGGCACGGTGAGTAGGGCAGACACACAGACCATTACTTGCTTAAATGGTACAACGGCAGGATACATGGAAGCAGAGAAAAGTCGAAATAGTTGGAGGGAGAGGTTTCGTTGTGCTCGATCGGGAATGCTCTTTTTTTCTGGTCCGTTTTAAACACTTCAGAGCGTTTTCCTTTTTCTGGTAATTTGACAGTTCCAATTTACGCAATTCATTATATTCAAGGGCATTTTATCAATACTCATACCACTGCCCCATGGCTGCGTCTTTTTCTAATAGTTTCTACTGTAATGTGCCCCTGATCGCTTCCCAGTGGATGTAGTAGATTTCGCAAGGTGACAGAACTTTCAACATGTTTGAGTCGGCCAAGCGGTTGATTTTTGTTAAGAATCTTAGATGCATTTGAATGCATTTGGGTATAGATAGTAACTTGCGCTAGTTGTGAAGTAATGATAAACATTTAAGCATTGTTAGCCATAAGCCCTAGCTTGGCATACCCCGAGGATAATTTCATTGGAGTAACCCCTCCAGTTTACGCAGCTGCTGGGTCCGCAACTGTCAAGGTTCTTCGCTCCTCGAGACGTGTCACTGTGGCGCTAAAAGTATAGCATTCGGATCCTCGTACGCCCTATGAGATCTCTGCACGGCCATCATGACTGCATCCTGCGTGTCTTCGCTGATCTGTATGCTCTCGTCTCGGAGTGTTTTTTTACGCCCATTGGCGCCAATTTTCTCTCATTACGCTCTATGCTTCTCATACTCCTCCACAATGGAAAACGAGGAAGCTGCACTATCGAAGGTTTTGACTCTCAGGTTTCTCAATTATAGGTCGACTGTTGTTCCACTTCATCACTGAGCGCTTTCACACAGAAACTGGTCGTTTCTTGAGCCTCTGAAAAGATTCGGTATCTTCAATCCGCATTTTTTTTCACGGACCACGAGTTTGGAGTTGGTTGTACTACCACATCTCCGCATCGGCTTCGAATTAAAGGCAAAATCAGGATAAAATTTATGGGGTGGACCCACTCAAATGTGAAAGTGGGGATGGGAGGTGCACCGCTAAGGGAGAAAAGAGAGGAAGAAAATCGTGAAAAATGCGAGTTTTCTGCTCTACGCTGTGAGGAATTTCGAGATAATGTGAGCGCGGAGAGGGAGAAGTCCGAGAAGAGAGAGGGCGTAGCAGATCAACGTTGCGACGCAAACAAGATATCGAACAGTGGGAGGAGCATGAATACTTGATGGAGTCTGTCAAATTCCTTAGCGTCTAGCGTCTTAGTAACTCTTTTTGATGTAGAAGGTGGCGCAACCTGTGCACTTGCGTAACTAGCACCTCTTTCCATAGGAAGATCTTTTTAAGTTGTTCTGAACCCGAACTTTGCCTCCAAAAATGGGGTTATTTTGTCAGGAAAGAGGCGAGAGATAGCTTGCATCGGCATGCAACAGCTCAATCGGCCGGGTTTTCTTTTCGGAAATAACAAGCTAACCTGATCCAGTCCACAAAATTTACTAGGTGGTGAAAACAATCAAACCAAAACTTTCTCCGGCGAAGAGTAGGTCATGATGTCCATAGCAGTAATTTTTCATCTTTCCCACGGCGTCATAACCAGCTCGAATTCGGACCAAAGCACCAAACCTTCCGTCCCCATCCCACCCCCCCCCCCCTTGGAGGTCAATGGTTGGGTTAAAAAAATGCTCAGTTGTTGAAGCTCCTCCTGGTTGGGTCATCGAGCCGGTACAACGAGCGGCGAAGCTCAGTGAAATAAAGTATTTTGAACTTTTTACGGAGAAATGTTTAGACACATTCCCACTTTTACGTTACACCACTTGTCATGGAGCAAAAAGGAGGAAAGAGTTCAAATATACCTGAAATCCATACAATAGCGCAAATATTGGTTTGGGAGTGTCTTTAGCCCGCAGAAACGACCGAATCGCCGCCTTTTTCTGGTTCAGTTCCAAGTCGACCGTCATCCTTAACTTGAGAATTGTATTCACCTGCGCAAAGAATAAGAGACACAGTGCGACGGAAACAATAATAGCAATGGAACACGAATCACTTGTACATGATCCACAATTAGCGATGTTACTCGAAAAGCAATCAGAGAAACAATAAGGAAGTAAAGAGCTCGAGAAATAAATCACATGACGAATGATCGATCAGGCTGGGAATGGTCACTAGTGCCCTATCGATTATTATTTTCAGCACCACATGAGACCTCCATCAATCGTTGGATGTTCCCTTCTACCGTTTTTTGTATCCGTCATTTCTACGTTTCTGGCACCCCAATAGTTTCCGTCTCTGCTCTCTCCTTTCTTATCTCATTTCTGTGACCGATATAGGTGTTATACAAACGGGGTGGGCACGCTCAGCTTTTCACGCATGTCAACTTGCTGCCCTCACTCCCCACCCCCTAGATTGGCCACACACCCCCTGGCTCACAGATTCCCTGATTCTCGTAACAGTATAGTAGCGGGCAGCAGTCCCACTTACACACATTATGTTCAAAAAATGCGGCGTGCCCACCCTACTTGTATTGCACGCCGATATACATTGACCGACTGGTCCATTGAAAAGTTATGAGACCAAAATGATCAGTTTATACCGATCCTTTATACCCATTATTCTTCACATGAGGAGAAACTCCTTCCCACGCGGTATAGTGCTAGTTTGCTTCGAGGTATCTTAGTCTTTTCGCAGGCTTCGATGAAAGTGCACGTTCATCCTCCGAACTATGTAAATACACATTCCTTCCAGAGTAATAAAAACAACGTGCGAATTTTGCTAACCTACACTTTTCACCTTACATGTCTTCTAACAGTCATTTCTTTTCTTTAATGGCAACCATTCATCTGTACTTCTCACATTATCCCTAACAAGGAAATAACTTTGAACTTCCCGTGAAACTTGAGTGGAAACTCGAATGAATAGTCAGAGTCAAAAATGTTAGTTTCAAATATGGAGAATAGCATGAGAAGCAATTGTAAGCGGTCAACGCTGGCAGGAAATGCTGATCTCCACGCATTAGCGTTTTTAATTTCTTTCAGACTCTGAGGGCTAACTCAGTTGAGGGCCTGAAGGAGCGGCCTGAAGGCGCCTGGATATTTCTGGGACATTTTCAAAGCCTGAAAGAAATGAGCCAGAGCGCTTCATTTGTAAAAGTTGAGGGCTTTGAACGTATCCACATTCTTTCGGAAGCCCTAAGAACGTTTAGACTTTCGAATCTTACAAATTTCCCCAACAGAGTTCTGGGGATACAGTAGCGATGATGCAATGCAACGTTCGTGTGAAAGTTATGTATAGAAAAGTATCAGAACAATCGTTCAGTCGTTATGAGGACACATTATGCCGATTTGTAAAAAATATTCACAATTATTTTCGGTTTGATTCAAAATATTTGAAATAGCTATGTAAGTATTTTTTGAATGCACGCCTCAGATATCCTCCCTCCCAAATATTTTCTCGTGCACTACATACATTCTCCAGTAAAAACGTTCAGAGGTCAAACTTTCGCTTTGCCATCGAATCCTTTTGAATTCTTGATGATTAGGAGTTTCAAAAGTTGCAAAGGCACACATATAAAGAAATGAAGCGCATTGGAGGAGAAAATATAACGCAGAAGAAACATTTCGGTAGGAATCACCTTTGCTCTTTAATGCCACATTATTAGACGATGTTGGAGATTCAGCACAGCATCGTCTTGGGATCATTTGTCAAATATTTTTAGTACTTGATGAATAACAGAAGTACTCGTCGTATGGTAATTGTACCAAGATTCAAAAAACCTACAGAGCAAATCGATAAAAACGTCGTTTCAGAATTGCTTAAACGTGATTTTATGCGAGAAAAGAATGTCATCAAACGTTTGGATGAGTGTGCTTTAAACATTCAAGAAAAGAAAACATTTGATGATAAAGCATTTTTTCATTATTCATTCGTTCATAAAGGTCACATCAAGAAATCGAGTGATGCGAGAGAGCAACATTCATAAGAAATATTCTTCAAAGAGCAGCATTCTTGAAAAATATGACCATTTCTAAACAATAAATTTATTCGAGCCGTATTTCCAAGAACTAAATTGGACAGAAAACATTCTTACGAAATCAAAAAAGAACCGGAAAGCTCATTTGATCGATTCATGGGCTCAGCCAATAAACACACATTGGTGTGGTCAGAAAGGCCACTTTGAAGCAAAATGGTTGTAGCAAAATCATTGATTAGCGGTACGTTATGTTGAATTCTTTTTTTTCTTTTTTTGAGTTGTATTCGTTTTTTTCCACACAACATGTACCTTGCCACAGCGTAATAAAAAATCTAACCATCTATGGCACACAAACAAAGAGCTTTGTTGCAGAACATATGGAAACGTAGTGAAGTTGAAGTACCATTTTCGAACATTCTCAAGTAGAAATGCTTCCGACTGAGGTTGAAAAGTGAGTTAGCAAAGAAGGTGCACACCATTTTAGACGATTGAAGTAATTTTTACTGTCATACAAAAAGAGTAAGTGTTCGCAATTATAACTTCCGGACGAATGTCACTGATGGGAACTTACTATTTTAGTTCGATGACAATTTCTGGAAATGAGGGTAAATTTTATCAATTTGAGCCTTGACTTGTGGAAATATTAGTGGAAATCAAAGAAGCCGCTTGGCTAGTGTCGACGTAAGCAAACCAGCCCTTTTGGCGCTTCGGCTGGGACCGTATGCTGAATGTTGGGGAGGGGATGGAGTCCCCGACGGTGGACGGACTACCTCAACTCGGTCCTCAGAACCGCCACAATTTGGTGCTCACCTCAGAGCTAGGCCTTAAAGAGAGAACGGGTCCGTCCCCTCTCCAAGGCTTAGTCCTGGGGTGAGCAAACCAGCCCTTTTGGCGGAGCTGCTGGACCAGCTGCACCACATGCGTCAGTACTCTCCTATCGTACCGACCGAGTTGAAGTAAACCGTCGACCGTTGGAGACCCCATCCTCTCCCCAACATTCGGGATACGATCCCAGCCGAAACGCCAAAAGGGCTGGTTTGCTTACCTCGCTAGTGACTTGCTAGTGCAAAGTCCAAAATAAACAGCCACATGTTCCGCAGTTCCGTTAACTGAGGATTTTGCATTTTATCGGCATCTGCCCGTTCCTTTTTTCGAATAAAATATAAAAATAGTTAGTCTCCAGCTTCTCTCTTCTTCTTGTAACCTCGGCATCACTATTCTTACTTGTGAAATACGTTTCTTTCGCTTTGAAAGTGCCGTGCAAGGTTTATAGGTGCAACATTCATTAGTTCGCCCTAACGTTAAAATAATTAGGTTTATACAGGTCACTCCTCATAGTCAACCGTATTACTGGAAAAAATGCAAGCGCTCACGCGCTTGGGGAAAGGAGGAATTCTGGCGGAGGAGACCCAGCGCATTCGAAACTGTATTATTAAGCGTTTTTTTTTGTAATATACGCTCAGAAAGAGCTACTCATGCCTTTTAAAAGCGGCGTAGCTGTTCGTCTGTGCTCTCACAGCTATAAAGAGAAGGTTTTTCCGCGTAGTCCGTACTCATTGTTACAATAACGAGCTTCTTCGAGTAAATCTTTGAAGCAACAGACCGCCAGCTGCTTCACTCCAATATCGAATTTTTTGTATGATGTCCACTTCTTGAGCTGGGGTACGTTTGTTGCGGTTCTGTGTTAGATGGTTCGATTTCACATTTTCTAGGCCGAGGAGGAATTTTCGAAGTTGGGAGGAAGTCGTAGTGTGGGTGAGTAACCCATCTGCTAGGAAAATATTTTTGTAAACTGCCACTGCACTCCTTTCGCTCCAAAAACTACTCGTTGCCAACGTAGTTGGGACCATATGAGGTTCATCGCCCCTGGGTCTGAATTGGTAGTGAAGGGACCAGCGTGAATATCGTTCAAGGAAATCCTGACAGGGGGTCGTATTTGCCAGAGTGGGTCATGTGGGGTCGTACTCTTGGGGTTAGTAATGTCAGATAGGAAAGAGGGGGTGTAGCGCAGGAGAAAATAGGATATGTGAGAAAACATGAGTTAAAATATTCTTTGCAGGTCCATTCGCTCCATTCCTTTACCTTTATGAGAAGGACGTATTTGAAAGCAGTTCAAGGAATGAGTGTGCATCTCCGGAATGTGTACACGTGCTGTAAAGGCACCTCCTTTATCTAGGCCCGCTCTCTCGCCCCTAATACCTCGTTGAAAATGAGGCAGTTGTTAGGGAGCTGTCGGCGAATGAAGCTGTTCCTTAGGTTACGGGAGTTACGGAATCTGTTTACTGCAATACAATTTCTGTCAACAGGTCATCGAGCGGAGGTCGGATGTATGGCCTATACTGAGACGAGAACGGACGATGACGATTGCCGGTTTCTTGTCGCTTACGTTGGGAGATTTTATTCTAGACACATTTCGAGTGCTGTCAACAAATTACATTTGCAGTGGTGAAGAAGGGAGTAGCTTTTTGAGCGGCTGAGATCTTGATAGATCCTCGACGCAAATATCTCCTCAACTGGAGAATGTAGAAGGAAGCTAGACACTGTTAGAAAGCGCAATCCTTCCGCTTTCCAAAACTGTCTTCGCTTTCCGAAGTTCCTGCTAAATTAGACAGATATTGGCTTTTAACGTGGCAAAAACTCGCTTGGAAAATTCCGTATTCTTGACGCTCCCTCGACAAAATTTCAGAGACTCTATCTCTTCAAGTTTAAGGCTTTCAGATCAATTTTAATATTGCACGGTAGTAGCAAAACCAGCTCTATCTAACCGTACCACATGCTGCTCCAAAACTTATGAAATGAGGGAATGGAGCCTTTTCATCGAGAGTGTAGATTTCGACGCTTTCGAGCGGGGTTTCAGCAAATCTGACCCACGGATAAACCGCGCTGCAACCGAACGCTTTGTTGTGAATAGATGGAACTCGTTTATTCACATCCAGGTAAAGTTAGAGGGATCATATCAAGATCCCGACCTGAGAGGGGGGGTCGTACTGA